AGCCTAGCGTTGTAGGTCATTTTTACAGCAGCAGGAATGCTATATTAGTCTGCTAAAGCTGCAAAGCATTCAGCTTCAGTTATGTGACAACATTCTTCTGGAAAGGAAGTAAAATGAAGTGTGCTGTGCTGAATTTTGAACTTGCAGTGGTGTCACACGTCCAGAAACCTGAGGGCAGCAAAGGACATGCAGAACTACAGAAGAGGATACCCAGTAAGTAAAATCTAATTCTTATCCCTAACAGCATCCAACATTGGTATGTGTATGAATTATGTTTGTTTTGTTTTTCTTCAGAATTTAATTGACGAGGAGTGCCAAGAGGATAAAATGAATAATTTACAGTTCTACCTAAACAAGTTCCCATCTGCTCCTGATGGTAACGGACTTGCCACAGTTTTAAGATGTTTGTTGTATTCAGTAAAATTGGGTTTGTTGTGAATGATGGTACTTTCTCATTTGGCACAGATCTCTACATTGAGTCATTTCTTAAAGATTGGAAAAACGACTACAAAAGATTGGAGAGAGTTCACTCCTACATCCAGTGGTATGTAATGTGTCAGTGTGGCAGGCACAGATATATATGAATAACATTTTTATTCTAACTTAAATTATTTGATCTTTTATTAGATTTTATTTTTTCATTTTTAATATTATAGAAGTAAAACACACAAAAGAAGGAAAAAAATAGATTTTAAAAATTGGTTGAATCTATTGGTCAAAAAAGTCAACAAAAAAGGTCATACACTCTAAAATCTTGTTGGACCGCCTTTAGCTTTTATTGGAATAACTTGGCCATTCTGTATATTCAGTCAGCTGACCTCATTCTAAGAGAACATCCTGTTGCTGCACCAACCCCAGATCATAGCACTGCCCCCTCAGCAAACAATCACCCCAGCTGTCTCTGACACTAGGTACATAACAGACATTTAAGTATTTATTTCTAAAACTATTTTTCATGCGTGGTTTTGTCTTCTGCAGTGACCTGTTTTTGTAAACTAACAGCAGTTACCCTAAAACCACATTTTAAAGTTAAACATGATGGGAGTTACTGAGATGAATGATAACATCTAAAGTGCAGTTTTATGAGATACTGATTGTTTTTTCTCTATCCCTTCAATTAAATTGAAAGGCTTTTTCCTCTGCGAGAACCAGGAGTAAACTATATGGCATCAGAACTCACCAAGAAGGAAATTGAGGTAAGTGATCAGACATATTTATGTCTGAAACTTTGCTCACACTGGATGTGGAAAAATGTGGTCTGGTTTCCATACGGCTTCTGCATAGATCAGAAGTCACTGAGTCCAATCGGAGCATTCACACCTGTCGCGGTCCACAGATGTGGAGCTCCGAAATGTTTTTGCATGGAGTCTATTTTTCCGGATGCCACATGCAGACTGTCATGAAGCAGGGCTGTAACGTTATCATTTCTGGCTTATAGCACTGGTGCTACAAAGGTTGTAGGTTTTGTAGCGCAGAACAAAAACTTGTTGCACCATCATAACAGAAGTACAACTGTTTAATATTAATGTTAATATTAGGTAATGCATTGCTAAGCAAGGTTGCATGCTTTCCACCCCACATTTAGTCTAATGATTTTTAAACTAGCGACAGTCAGGAAGATGTGGTGTAAAACTACCCTGAAATGTATGTATTTACTGCCCCCCAGCGGCAGGAAACTACACACTGCCACTTTAAGAACAGTTAAAAGTCAAGAATGTTAATGAAGGGATCTTTTGTTTAGTAAAGCTTAATAGTGCATTAAGTGAAATAATGAAGAGCCCATTATTGTAAAGTGTAAGCAAAAATTCTCTTACGATCGCTAAAAAACAAAAGTGCTTTTAATTACATAAACATAACAAGAACTATGTTCAGACATGTTTATTTTTCAGTGTAATATTATAAAGAATATTTTTATTCGTTCAAATTAGCATATATTTGTTCATTGCAGAGGTCCGTCCTCAACAGCATAGATATTGAAGAGTAGATGCCACACTGACCACTACTGCCTATGGCGGCTGTATTTGAGGGGTCTACTTTATATAAAGTCTATGGTTAACAGGATGTTTTTAGCCTTGACTTTAGCTCTGTGGAGGTCTGCTCACGAACGGAGAGAGAGCGCCGATAATAAACCCGTTCACACAATTCCACCTGATTCTCTGAAGCGTGTGGGTACACCGTATACAAGTAAACGTGCAAGAACACACAAGCATTGTGGGAATTGTAGTAGAATATAACTGTAATTATATTGACAAGATAACACTTATTACAATAGACTTCAATCCCAATTTGACATAGTTGCATACCATGGCTTTGGTTGTCGCATCTTCCTTGTACAAAAAACAAGTAGCTTCTATTTGTTCAATAAAGTCCTGGAGGGAAAAGGGTAACTTGGAAAAAGGTGTCACACAAGTGCTACATCCAAAAATAGTTGATCACACGTTCTTCATCACACGTGCGACGTGTATGTCGGACTGTACAACCTTGTAAAGTTAAATAAATTACATGGGACAGACAGGATGTAAAACATGTTTCACTTCTGGGTCTTCCTTTGGGTCTCCTCCTGGTTAGACGTGCTCAGAAAACCTCGCTAGGGAGGCGTCCACGAGGCTTCCTAACCAGATGCCTGAGCCAACTAAACCTGTTCCTCACAATGTGGAGGAGTAGTGAATCTACTCCAAGCCCCTCCCAAATAACATAGTTTCTCACCCTATCTCTTAAGGGGGAGCGCAGACACCCTCAGGAGAAACCTAATTTTGGCCACTTGTATATGCGATCTTATTCTTTCGGTCACTACCCAAAGCTCGTGGTGACCATAGGTGTGGGTAGGAATGTTGATTGACCGGTAAATCGAGAGCTTCGCCTTTCGGCTCAGCTCTCTCTTCACCACAACATAACGGTACAACGCCCACATCACTGCAGATGCAGCATCAATCAGTCTATCAATCATACACTCCATTTTTCCCTCACTTGTGAACAATACCCGGAGATACTTAAACTCCACCACTCATCCCTTACCCGGAAAAGGCATTCTACCCTTTCCCGATTCAAGACCATGATCTCGGATTTAAAGAGCTGATTCTCATCCCAGCTCTTCACACTCGGCTGCGAACTGCTCCAGCAAAAGCTGGGAATCACTGTCTGATGCAGCCAACAGGACCACATCTGCAAGAAGCAGAGACCGTTGGTCACCACAACAAATCCCCTCTACAGCTTGCCTGCGCCTAGAAATTCTGTTCATAAAAATTATGAACAGAATCTTTGATGAATGGCAGCCTTGGCGGAGTCCCACTCTCACCAGAAATAAGCCTGACTTATTACCGGCAATGCAGACCAAGCTCTGGCACCGGTCATACAGGGACCTAACAGCCCGTATCAAAGGGCCTGGTACCCCATACTCCCGAAGTACCCCCAGCAGGGGCTCCCGAGGGACACAGCTGAACACCTTCTCCAAATCTACAAAACACATGTAGATTGGTTGGGCGAACTCCCACACACCCTCCATGACCACCCCAAGTGTATAGAGCTGGTCCAGTGTTCCACGGCCAGGACGAAAACCACATTACTCCTCCTGAATCTGAGGTTCAATTATTCGACAGACCCTCCTCTCCAGAACTCATCTTGCAACTCATACTTAGAAAAACTTCTCCAGGAGTTGCAAAGATGCATTTGGAATACTTTTAATCTTTTAAATAATGTGTTTATTTTAAACGATTGACCTAGCTACTGTTACTGTCTAAATGCCCATTAGGCCTTCAAGCAGAGCAGTGATGCCAAAAAGCGACTGGTGGAGTCCTATGAGCTTATGTTGGGTTTCTATGGCATTCGTTTGGTCAACAAAGAAACGGGTGAGGTGAAACGTGCAGAAAATTGGAAGGAGCGCTTTGGAAATCTGGAGAGGTAAATCTTCAGATGCTTTTCTGGATGCTTTTCTGTCGTTTTGTTTTTAATTACAGTCCCAACTGTTTGACCTCTTGCAGGAATATGCACAACAACCTGAGGATCACTCGAATCCTGAAAAGTCTCGGGGAGCTTGGCTTAGAGCACTACCAGGCCCCACTCGTTCACTTCTTTCTCGAGGAGACTCTGGTGAAGAAGACCCTTAGCAGTGTTAAACGCAGCGTGCTCGACTACTTCCTGTTTGCTGTGCTGAACAAGCAGAAGCGTCAGGACCTTATTCGATTTGCTTACAATAACTTTGAGCCAAAAGACAAGTTCGTCTGGTGTCCCAAAAAGATTCAGAGGCAGTTCAGAAAGGGCGAGAAGAGCAAAGATGGAAATGCAGCAGCACAGCAAAAGGAGGATGGAATGGAGAATAGTTCCAAGGCTCAGAAAGGGGCTGAGAGTAATAAAGACAAGAGTAAACAGTCTGAGGAGAATCCAAAGATGCTAACGGGCACCGAGGTGGTGGGAAACGGCAACGTGGAGGCTGGGTCTACAGATGAGATTATGAGGAATGGAAATGACTCTCCTGATGATCATGAAATGGATCAGTCAGCCAGTCCTGACACACTGACTGCAGATCCTGAGCCCAGTACGGACGGTGAGCAGCAGTCTACCAACAACTCACAGGAAGCTGACATTATGCAAACCGACCCAGAGACTGAAAAACCACCAAAAAAGAAGAAAGAAGAAGAAGAGGCGCTGCTGCTGAGTAACGGCCCTGCTGAGGGCTCTGCCAGTGGGCAGACAGAGGAAAAAACCAGCGCTGATAAACCCACGGGTCCAACAAGCCCATCTGTGCAAACTCCTCTTAAGACTTCAAAACACTCGCCCTCTCCATCTTCTGAAAGGGAGGAAAAAATCCCAAGGACTGATTTTAGCCACAAATCAAACAAAAACGAGGATGAAGGGACACTGCAGGAAAAGGCTGGTGTGACTAACGGGATGGAAAAGCAGGATGAAGATGTAGAAGAACTGAGGAGTGGGAAGGAGTCGGAGGCTGATATGGACGTAAATGCCTCCAGCTTGGACCAAAGCGGGTCTAATTTATGAATAAACAGCGACGATAGAAAACGTGTGAACTATGAAGTGTATTATAAGGACTGATACTGATTTAAGGGGTTTTCCAGGCCTTAATTTGACTATAATTAATGTTTTCATGTTGATTCTGTTCACTTATACAAGCACATGTGTTGGTTCATCAAACAAGGGACTAAAAGTGGCTCCATTTCAATACAGTTCGTGCTTTTATAAATAGTTTAAGTCAGGTTTCTTTTAAAAACACCCAAAGCATCAGTTTGGGTTAAAAATCCTGATGGTTGAGTAAAAATGGTCTTTTACTTCGTTTACAGTTGAAGGAAACATATTTATTTAGTTCGGTGGGGTTTTTTTCCCGTTAGTTGACTGAACTCTGCAGATTGAGATGATTTTGATTTGTAAATGATAATACACAATAGTACCTGAGGTTTGATACCTACTGAGTACATGAAGAACTGTTATTGATGTATACCGTTTCATTGAAGTTCTCAGCATTTTTAACAACTCAGTACTTTGGTATTTGGATTTTTTTGCACTGATAATTCATTTTTACAAACTCTTTCTCTCTCTAAGCTGTTTTGTTGTTAAACACTTTGTGTTGTTTTGTATCTCTTAATCCTGCTGTTTGAATCAAAATAAGTTGCTTGAAACAGGATGTGTGCTGCCATGCAGACTAGAGAAGTCGACCGATCGCCTTGCCAAATAAAAATGTGACGAGACTTGTTGATTGTACGCGCGCTTGGCAGAAGTGATGAAGCTTTGGCTGTAATTTAGTTCCACTGTAAATCTACCAACCAGGGTGATGAATCTTGTTTTTTTGCTTTTTTAATATTTGCACTTAATTTTTTGCCAATAATTGTTGAAGTTACTGTATTGACCTGATGAATACGTTTATCAGTTTCATGCCTGGCAGTTCTCAGAGCAGAATAAAATCATACTATTTTCTGATATTTTTGTGAAATTTTCTTTTTAGGTTAAGTTGTAGTTCAGTAAAGCTTTAAGGTGAATCCTGAGAGTTACTGTAGAGATGCAAAAGTTTGGCCACAACATTTGTGTAGGGGCCAGGTATTGGTCCAAAAACTGTTATTTGACTCATTAGCGCCACTGGTGTTCAGACTTGGAATTGCATCCCCTTATATTCTGATTATTGCACAGGGACAGGTGAGCAGCAGGATGGGGACACTTCTGGGGGCCAGTCAGTATTTCAAAGGGGCCAGTGCCACAATGGCCCCACCCCTAGAAGCACCAGTGTGTGAAAAATATGGTGGAGGGAAAGTATATAGGGCTGCGCAGTGGTTAGAGCTGTTGCCTTGCAGCGAGAAGGTCCTGGGTTCGATTCCCGGCCTGGGATCTTTCTGCATGTTCTCCCTGTGCATGCGTGGGTTCTCCGGGTACTCCGGCTTCCTCCCACAGTCCAAAAACATGACTGTCAGGTTTATTGGTCTGTCTAAATTGTCCTTAGGTGTGAGTGTGTGTGTGTGCATGGTTGTTTGTCCTGTGTGTCTCTGTGTTGCCCTGCGATGGACTGGCTCTCTGTCCAGGGTGTACCCCGCCTACTTGCCCGTTGACTGCTGGAGATGGGCACCAGCCCCATGGACAAAGCAGGTTCAGAAGATGGATGGAAGGAAAGTATATAGGATATTTCAGACTGAAGCCCTTTTTAAGTGACCACTCTCCAGCTCCTCTGTGTTGTCACAACTCATCTCTGCTTTTCCATACTGAGGGTGTTCAGGGGTGTGTAATATTAATGGTTCTGTTTTCACTGAAACACTTCAGAATATTGACACAAAGTGTGAGAAAATAACTTGATGCTAATGAAATCACCAGTGCCATCTCACCTAAGGAACACGAACGGAAACTGCAGTTGTAAAAACTAAAGATCCGCTTCATGATGCCACAATTTCTCATTTAATATATCGCATAAATATAAATGATGGAAAAGTTGGAGCTTATTTTAAAGTTCTGCATTGTTGCTGAATTACCTCCCTCTAAATTTACCTTCATATTTTTTTCTCTTAAATTAGTGAAGTTTTTTTAACCTTTGTAGTTTAGCCAAACTGTGTTCTCCCCTCTGCAAACAGCCTCCTTCCCCATCCTCACCCCCCTCACCCCCTGTGTGCAGTGCCTGGCTGAGCTCGGCCCCTTCAGCAGGAGACTCGGGTAGATCTGGAGGCAAAGAGAGAGCCATTCAGGGTCTGAGCGCTGTGAGGTGAAGGAGGGCTCTGTCTCAGACGCTGTTGGAGGGGGAGTGAGGCAGGACGTGGAACTGGAGGATTTAATCTGATTTTTGTAGAAAATCTGCTTTGTGGCGCCGAGCGGGCGAGCTGTGATGGTGTCCTCGGCTCTTTGGGTGCTTTTGCTCTGCCAGCTCCTGACATCCACCTCAGCTCAGGTGAGGCTTGTTCAGGTGATGCTTCCTCCTCCTGCATCATTTCCTATAGACGATCTGATCTCTGGAGCTTCATTTCTAATGTTTACAGCAGTAATGTCAGGATGAGGGGGATGATGATGGTGCATCATGCTCAAGACCTTTTAATCCTATTGGCTTGTGTTTGATGAGCAGAACCTGAGAGAGGAAGCTTATTCCCGTTTTTAGACTTTTCAGAGGGACCATGTGCGGGTGGCTATCATTTGCTCTGCAGCAGCCGGGGTTACGTTTTCCTTGAACCTGTGGAATGTGATGACCGGAGGTCAGGGTGCACAATGGTGCCTTTGTCCATGCAGCCTCCAGGACTGAGCCAAACTCTAGATCCCATCTGGGTAGTCCTGAATTACAATTATTTTATTCGTAAAGTTCACCAGAAACAGATCTAGTCAATCTTTGTGTTCTTTAAAAAATTCAGCGTTATTTCTGGGTTTTTGTCTTTCAAGCAAAATTTTTGTCACTTTACTGTTTTTTAATGCATATTTTTGATAATTTGATATATTTGATGTGATAAATTCCAACACATTCACCTAATTTTAAAGCACCGGTGCTTTTTTGATGCTTATCAGCTCGACGTGTTTGATTTTGATGCCTTCTTCATGCTGCAGAGACCCGGACCCCGAGGAGCTCCTGGGCCACCAGGACCTGCAGGACAACCAGGAAGGGATGGTACTGATGTGAGTGGACTCCAGAATTAAGCCAGCCTGTTTGGGCCTCAGCGGTTGACTGGTAGCTGTAGGTGAACGTTCAGAGCTGAGGGGTTTTTCTTTATTTTGCCGTGAGTGAGTGCTTTTGTGAATGTCTAACATTTTAGATTAAAAAAACATTATGAAGCGGACATATTTCAAAACTACTTATTTAACCTTTACAGACTAGAGTTGACACATTTCTGGGGTTGAATTCTAAATTTTGAATCAAAGTTGGTGGTTTTCTTGACCTGAATGTCTTCATATGTATGAAGTGTCATTCTGACTCCTCCCACAGCCCCGCCCACAGGTGTGATTGGATGAAAGTAGGCAGGTGTGTCAATGAGGGGAAGTGATTTCGAACACAATGGTTTATTATCTCTCCTAAAAAATAAAAATAAAGTTAAAGCCAAATCACCAAATTAATATATTATTGCATGAACTCAGTAAACAACAAATAAAACTCTCATTTTTGGGTATGTTAGATTTCTTAGATGATGTTTTATTATTAAAAGTTTTTTTTCTGATCTTTTTTGGCTTTTGAAACGTTTAAGTGTTGATTCTCGTTAGAAAGCTTTTGTACCTCTGAATTCTGAATATTTCTGTGAATCCTGTGAGGGTTTAGGCACACAGAGAGGACCCATTCATACATTCCCCATCTCGGTGAGACCATCTAAAGTTTCAGCTCACACCCCCACCCCTGTTCAGACCAAACTGAGGTGTTTACCATGTGACCGGCATGCGTCCGTCCTGCTTAGTGGTGTTTGTTCTGGGTGGTTAAACTCTCAGTCCTTCTGCTGTTAACAGATCTGGATCAGGATCTCTTCCTCATACAAGCAAACTGGGAAATATTTGGATTGCAGAAAATGTGATTTCTAAGGAATGCCTGGTCCTTTGTCCTCTTTGCCCTCTGCCCACAGTGATTTAATACAACTCTTTGGGTCATTTATACAATAAAAAGTTTAAAAGCCACTATTATGTAGGTTTGTTCTACTTTTGACTAGTTTTTTCTGTTTGGAGCCATGCTAATAATTAACTCAAACCACTATTAGCATAGTTTATTAGCTTTCTTTATTTTGAAAGTTTTCAAGACGTTAAACAAATGAACAGCAGATAATTCGAAGTAAAAATTACTGACTTTTATTTGATCAACAGGGCAAACCTGGACCTCCTGGACTACCAGGGAAAGCTGTGAGTATTTTAATTATTCAGCCGGTTTCCTGCATAGAATCAGTTTAAATCCTGTTGTGCTAATTTGACATTTTGCCGTGGACTTCTCTTTTCTGACTTTTGTCCCAGAACATGCTAACACAACAGACAGGAAAGCTAACGTTGTCTCTCTGACTAATTGTCAAACTGCATGTGCTGCAAACATAATCATTAAAGCCGTTACGCACAAACACTTAAACTGAACTGAAGGACCTTGCACAGTCTTTGGTTTGTAAGATTTGGTGGATATTTGTAAAAAAAAAAAAAAATTCTGCTGGATTGTTGTAGGGCCCTAAAGGAAAAGCAGGAATACCAGGATCACCAGGAAAAGCAGGCCTGCCGGGACTTCCAGGAATCGACGTAGGTGTTCACACAGTTATCTTGAACACTAATGTGTACAAACGGAGAGATTCTGGTGCTCCGGAAATGAACGGATCCTTTTTTCTTAAGTAGCTTTTCTCCATCCTCAGGGTTTGACTGGCCCGGACGGTCCTGCTGGTAAAGATGGACCCCCAGGGGAGCCGGTGAGTGATTGTTGGACTCCTGACCTGCCTCTGAAGAGACATTTATTGATTTTATTATTAGGTTTCTCTTGCACTGCTCTACATTAGTCATCATATTGATGAAAACCTAGATAATGATCCGGTTCTGTTTCCACGAGGATCTCCCCAAGGCCCAAACTGGCACACGACCACATTGGCCTGAATTTGTCAACCTACCTCAAAATCCTGACCTGACATGTTTTTAATGAGGGATAACGAAGGGGTAGCGGGTGTTTCTGCTACTCTCTAATCCAGCCAGGAATGTTCTTTTCACCTTTCCTCCAGTCTGGGAAACTGTAGGAGATAAAATCTCGAACAAAAACAATCCTGTTCTCTGAGTGCCACAAGAAACAACCGGATTACAACTCAAGTGACATCAGAGCAGAGCAGCGCCCTGTAATTAAACTAGATTTTCAGCTTCTTCAGGTCAGCTAATAACTGAAACAGGAGACAGAGTACCCCCCCCCCCCCCCCCAGCAAGTCAACTAATTAGCCGACTTAATGAGGAAGCCTGCATCAGCCCATGTCCCTAATTACACAGATAATTATGACTGGCTTAAAGAGCAGAAGAGTGAGCACAGACTAACTAGGTGCACTGGAAAAAAGAGCCAGTTGAAACAAAACAAAAAAATAAATCACAATTGTGTACTTGGACTCTAGATGTTTTTGCATGGCACCTTGTGTGAATTTAAGAGTAAAGCATATTTTATGTTATTAATTGACCCTTTGCACAAAAAAATGCTAATTTTCGGGTTCCAACCGGAAGTATAGGTTAGTTATTTCTGGCTAGTTTTATGCTAATGAAATATGTGGTAAATGACTGTGTGTGTGCGTGCGTGCATGCGTGTGTGTGTGTGTGTGTGTGTCAAAACTCTCCACCCCCTCGATCAAAAAGGAGGAAAGTAAAGCCATGTAGCTGCTAGAAAACAAGTGAAGAGCAGCACACCTGATGTTGTGTTGCTACTCAATCGATAACCTTAACATATATTCATATAACTGGAGTTGTTGGGGTAGCAGTGCAGCCTCGAAATGAAATAACTAATAATAATAGTTCTGCCACTAAACATCTGTAAAGGACCCCAGATAATAATAACTAACAGGGAATTAGTGCTGGTGATTCATACCAAATTGGTGGCGAAGTGAAAGACTTTAGTGGCAGATAATGCCTTAGTTAGAGGCTGCACTGCTGCCACAACAACTCCCATTATGGATAAATGCCGATCGTAGATGGGTATTCCCTGGACTCCAGATAGCACCGAAGTTCTCTGGGTGAGAAAATGAACGTATTACATAGTAGAAATAAGGTCAGGTTGCAAAAAAATAAACTGTTACCGTTTAATAATAATACAACGTGTTTGTCATGCCCCTTTTAGTCAAGCTCCTTCTAGTTAGCACAGCTGCGTTGTGCACCTACCTTCATATTTGTGCACTGGGATAGTTACATATATGTGTTGACGATACAATGGTTTTCATCGACTGAAATTTTCTGCAAGGGATCTGGAAAAGTACAGTTCAGTGCATGCACCGTCCATGTTGACATCACTGCGAAGGAGACAGGAAGTACCACGCCTCTGCAGAGTTTGTCAACTGGAATTAGCGTTTGCTATTGTGCACAAGGTCCGTTATAATAAACTAAACATTTAAAACTAAATTATTCAGGATCGCTGATGGTTGTGTCAACTCAGTAACAAAAAATCTCCACTGATTGTGGTTTTCTCCTGCTACTAACAGGGTGAGCCGGGACCTGCCGGGCCTCCTGGACCTTCTGTAAGTAACAACGTAGCAAACATGACACTGATGCCAACTAGCTTGTGTTCCAGTTATCAGATCTGTAGCTGTATCATTCAGCCGTAAACGGGCAAAAAAAAACGGTTGATGTTCATTTTCAGATTTGAAATTAGAAATCTTTATTCCAACAAACTGATCACAATCTCCAGTCGAAGACAGATTAGCTGCGTTTGAACTGCATGTAATAGGTGTGTGTTACTGTTTCAGCTGTACTCTTGGTGTTTGTGACTTAATTTGTCTTCCTGTGTCTTCCGTAGGGCAGAGGGAGACCAGGAGCTCCAGTGAGTTAAAAACACTTTTTTTTTCACTTTAAATATGTTTTAAAGCTATTTTCCCCTCCTTTGCATCCCTGGAGTGTGTTTGTAATGGCTATGCTTTGATGAAAGTGAGATATTAAACTGACCAGGTGATGTGTATCACACACACTGTTTCCAGGGATTACCTGGAACCAACGGGTTGCCGGGCGGAGCGGGACCCCAGGGTCCTCTGGTAAGTCTATACGACTCATGTATTCATCTTTTTATGGTTCAGGTAAAGTTGCTATCACCCATTCACCCTCTGGAGAGAAGAGACTAGTGGTCCCAGCCTCTACAGCTCTTAGTTCCAGTCACGTTTACTGGAGCCAGCTGGAACAACACCGGCCTCGTTTCCTAAACGTACAGGCAGGAGGAGGATAAGAATAACCACCGGCTGTGCTCTGGTGTTCACGCTGGATCTTCTTCAGCTCCTGTTTGTGGAGCAGGTTCTGCAGGGTTACCAGCAGCAGTTTAGAGTTTAGATCAGGTCCCAAGCATTTTTAGAGGATTTCTAAACATGTGCTCTATTTTATTTTATCTGTTTCATTTTCCTTTTCTCTAAAATGTTAGTTGTGATAAAAAGAATAATTGTTGCGGAGCCCAGATCGTGCTACTTTTTTGTTATCTAGTGAGCTCTGAGCTTTTGTTTGCACTCTCTCTTTTTTTCTCTGAGCTAATTTGAATTTAAAAGACCTCCAATGTTGGTTCTGAACATTTAGTAGCTAAAACATTAAATGTTTTGATAAAACTGAAGATGAGATCTAAAGATAATATCTGAAACTGGAGAAGTCTCCATACATACCAGGACTGAGGAGCCAAAAAGTGTTTTTCTGCCGCTTTAAAACGGCTCTAATCTTTAACATTTCTTAGGTGTTTCTGCAGTTTTATCTCATGGCTGTAAATCTCACATTATACATTATTCACTTGTATTTTATGGTTATCTTTAGGCACAAATAACAGCTGCAGCAGACAAATGTTGCATCCGCAAGTCACGTTTGGCTGAAATGTCTCAATCTCTCTGAGCAGCTGTGGATCCTTGTAGAGTGGGACTGTGTGAAAGGCACATACTAGCTGTTAGCTTATCAGCCCTGTAGGATGTAAACCCTGTTTCTCTGACACAAGGCTGTTCAGCAGACTGTCTGCAACAGCTTAGATGCTAATTAAGAAGGCGTTTAATCACACAAAACAATAAACTTGGCAAAAAGAAAAGCATTCATGAACTAGTTGAAAGTAGATTTAGACCCAAAGTGTTTTCCTGAGGACTGAGATGGATCAGGCTTGATTCTGAACAGATACTCTGACCTAGATGGGACTATGTGTAGGAGACTAACCCTGAAGTGTGACGCAGCTGCTTCTCTGTTTGTTTCTCAGGGTGCTGAGGGTCTTCCTGGACTTCCAGGACCTCCTGGGCCTGATGGGCCTCCTGTAAGTGCACTTATCACTTTACCATGAACAGGAACCACAGAATGTAACCATAATTAAATCATGGATGTGATTTCTTCCTCTCCCAGGGACTTCCTGGTACTCTTCGTGACCTTAGCGGTGACCTTCTGGTAAGACGTCAGCCCTGAGATGCACATGGAAGCAGCATAATGTGATCAGAACATTTGCATTCTTCATCAAATAAACACAAATGTCTCGTTTCTGTCTTCTGCAGTGTCCTGCAATCTGTCCCCCTGGTCCCCCCGGTCCACCTGGGATGCCAGGATTCAAGGTAAGCAGCGTTTTAGTCAAGCCTCTTCTTTGAGTAGTGTTTCATTCAGTTCGCCCACTCGTGTCTAATTGGGATTTCTCACATAGGGACACACAGGACACAAAGGAGACAAGGGAGAGCTTGGAAAAGATGGAGAGAAGGTGAGCTGAGCGTGGTAGATGACTATTTTAGCTGTTCTGCATGATTTGTCCTTGATGGTGTCCCATCCTGTCCGTAGGGGGACCCTGGTCCACCGGGACCTGCAGGTTTTCCTGGCACCGTGGGTCTGCAGGTGAGACGTGAGGAGAATTTGCAACATTCTCATTAAAGTTGGGTTAAAACATCTAACACTTGCAGCATATGTGCTGTGTTTCAGGGCCCACGTGGTCTGAGAGGTTTGCAAGGCCCTATGGGAGCTGTAGGCAACAGAGTGAGTTACTCTCCTGCAGAATTAATCCCACCTGCTTCCCTTTCTGACATTTAAAACAGTATTAGGTTTTTTTGTTGTTGTTTTGTTTGTTTTTTACATCAACATCCTCTGTTTATCTCCAGGGCCTGCCCGGTTTCAGAGGCAAGCCTGGCTTAGCTGGCATCATCGGCAAGACAGTGAGTCACTCCTTGTTTGTTTCACTCTGATGGCTGAAGCCGTGCTTTTCAGTAGCTAGAGTGGACGGCCGGTCCCATCAGTGAATAGCTATGTGTGTGTTTCATCTGACGTCTGCAGGGTGATGCTGGGGAAAAGGGACCACAGGGTTTCAGTGGGCCTAAAGGAGAAATTGTGAGTGAAAAACTTTGAGTTGTAACTCTACAACGTCTTGGAGTAAATGACCTCCACACGTGTCTTTTGCCAGGGTAAAATTGGTGCCAAAGGAGCTGCTGGGGGCCTGGGACCCAAAGGGGATCCCGTAAGTTCATTTGTGCTGATACACTAAAGGAAAATGTACTGCTAGAACCACGAGGGTCATGTTTGGTGATTTCTACAGGGAATGCCTGGTCGAGACGGGAAAGATGGGACACCGGGCCTGGATGGCGAGAAGGTAGGCTCCGTTGCTTCTGGAGTGATTGTGAGTCTAGTCAAGTTACGAGCTCTCTGTCTGTCTGCCGACAGGGTGATGCTGGACGCCATGGAGTAGTAGGAGAGAAAGGGCCGAACGGACTTCCTGTGAGTACTTTCATCTAGACCGCCCTAGTGGTGCTCAAGGCTGTGACTCTTCTTTTCTCCTGTTTCTATTGCAGTTGTTGGTGATTTTCTCTATAATCCAGCAGCAAGCCCCAAGTTTTATTTTTTCTAGTATTCAGACTGGTCCAAGTTGAACACCCTGTGTATTTCTTTCTAGGGTCTGCAAGGGAAGGCAGGAGCAAAGGGGAATAAAGGAGAAGTCGTGAGTATTGCAACAAAACAGCCACGAAGCTAAAGAGCACCAAAAACCTAAGTTACGTTCTCCTGTTTTATCCCCCAGGGTGATCCAGGAAAGCCTGGGGAGTCAGGACCCTCTGGAGAGCCAGGTATTCCTGTATGTATCTGATGTTATTGTTAAAGAGTAATGAGAGCAACATGGCCGACCTCTGAGATGTCCTGAATGTCCTACGACGTGTTCTCTTTAGGGTGAGATTGGTGTCCCAGGAGAGAGGGGGATAGCAGGTCCCAGAGGAGTGGCAGTAAGTCAGACCTTCGAACCAACTCGACCCCTGAAAGCACACAGGCGCAGGGGTAGCATTAGCATTAGCATGTATGACATGTACAGCTGACCTTTGCCATGTTCCCTGGGTAAGGCGATTAAAATGCTTTCCAGCACTTTCAAACACACTGCTCAGATTTTCACTTTGGGTGTCTGAAACTGGAAAAAAGAAACATTTCAGCTACACTCACCTAATCTTAAATGCACCTGTAGTATCAGACGCTCTCACAACTAGCTTTAGCTGCTAATTATTTCTTACAGAACTGTTCTCTCTGACTCAGCAGCGAGCCAGCGTGGGGCCGGTTAGTGATGAAGGCGAGGGGTTTGGGGTGGAGGATGTATAAACAGAACAACTTTTATTTTTGCACATCAAACTCTGCAGAAATGAAAGTAAAGAACAGAAAAACTGCAGGAAATGGCAGAGTACCATCACACACTGGGCTGCATAACAAATGTCACACAATCACAGCGTGTTTGCTTCTTCTCTGAATAGAAATAGCCTCATTAATATCCTGTGTTGTTCTAACAGGGAGGGATTGGACCTGCAGGAAACCCGGGTCCTCAGGGAGTCAAAGGCTACCAGGTCAGCTGCAAGAAATAACTGATTATGCTGTTTTATGCTTGTTACTTTTATTTGCACTGATGGTTCTGACTGGGTGTGTTTTATGTGTTACAGGGAGTCAAAGGAGGTTTGGGTGACCCGGGACTTCCTGGGCCAACGGGACTTCGTGGAGAGTTTGGTGACAGAGTGAGTTTTTTGTAATATTATTGAAGTTTATTCAACAGTTTTATTGAACAAAGTTTTATTTTGGTGAAAAAAATGTCTGTTTTCACTCGACTTCCTAAAAAAACCAGCATTAAGTTTGATCAGCAGCCGGAATGACATCGATGCCCAGCTGAAGGAGAGCTAATATCTACACAAACACTGCAGATGTGTGTGTTATCATAGGAGGCCGCAGCTTGTCGTCTCTCCCCAGGCTCATCGGTGCGGACTGCAGCCGGGACACAAAGCGGCCTCCTGTTCAGAACCTGAAGTCTGAACAAAGCTGGTCTTTATGTCGGCCCTGGATCCCCCTCGCGTCCCTCCATCTGCCCCCTCCCCCTTCCCAGAGCAGGTTGTCCACTAAAGTCTCATTTACATGCTTCCTCTGTTTTTTGCCCTTACAGGGTCCGGTTGGGGCTTCGGGAGCTAAGGGAGACATGGTAGTGATCTGAAAAACTTTTCTGATAAATACTGTGTCTGCGTTTCACGGGAGAAGTCCCTCCTGGGTGCGTTGTGATGATTATCAGAGATGATCTTGTCGTTTCAGGGTGTGGCAGGAAGTGACGGTTTACCAGGAGAGAATGGAGAGCCTGTAAGTATTTTGCACCTCTAGATCCTTCGTCCACACACAATCAGCTGCAGTGTAAATAACCAGCCACTCGTTACTTTATTTCTTTTGCTTAATTTTTTATCATTTTTGTTTGTTTTGCTGACTCATGAGAAGTTCCATTCATGTTTGATGAACTGTGTTTTTCTAAAACCATCTACTTCTTCCTAGGGTCCTTTTGGACCAGTTGGACAAAAAGGAGAGGTGAGTCACTTTTCCATTTCTGCTGTTATTTGTGCAGCATCTCAGGCATGGACACCCACTCTCAGCTCCCAGTGCACATCAGATGTTGTGAGTGGGCGTAATTAGCAGCACGACTCCCTCTGTCTTCCCCCTCTCTCAGAGCTTTAAAAAGTGACTCCTGACTCTGAGCTGTTAACGTTCAGCTTCACATTCCGGCTTTAATGGGATTATTTTCAGATAGGTGTTGCTGCTCCAGCTTTAATTGGCCTGTTTGCTGCTTTCTTCATGAGGGAAGACAAGTGGCACTAAGCTGGTGCAGCTAGAGACACGGCGCTGATCCGACCCTCTCTTATTGAGCAGCGAGACTCCATGTGGATCCGCCTCCACTTCCCTCTAAACGGAGCTAGTTGGTTCTTTGGTTTGGTTTTTCATCGCAAATCAAATCTCAGATGGCCTTTAGCAGCTTGTACGAAATAAGATTTATTTTTGCAAAACGTACAGGTAGAAGAGTTAAAGTGATGGTTGTTTGTGATTGCAGCCTGGCAAGCAAGGTGAACTGGGGCCAAAGGGCGTAACAGGTCCTCAAGGGGAGCTCGGGCCAAGAGGGCTCCCAGGAAAACCAGGACCATTGGGCTTCCAGGGGGAACAGGGAATGCCGGGAATCGCAGGAAAAACCGGAGTACCTGTGAGTGTTTCTGATCCTGAATAAAACATTCTTTGAGATGTCAGAATGCAGATCGTCTTTCAGCGTGCCCCCTTGTGTCCCAGGGTAAGCTGGTGAGTGAGCAGCACATCAGGGAGCTGTGTGGCTCCTTGATCGATGGTGAGGCATCTTTATTCCACCACATCCTCTGATCCACAGTAGTGACGTGTCAAAGAACTGTCAGAGATGTCTGATGCTTTCTGTCGTACAGATCAGATCGCACAGCTGGCTGCTAACCTCCGAAGACCTCTGGCACCTGGAATGGTAGGCCGCCCCGGCCCAGCAGGGCCTCCGGGAAAGCCAGGAGTCTCTGGTTCTGTTGGGCATCCAGGGGCCCGCGGGCCACCAGGGTACAGAGGCCTGCCTGGAGAGCTCGGAGATCCTGGTCCCAGAGGTATTATGAGATAAAAGCGCCAGTTTTAGACATGCAAATGGTTCCATTAATGTAATTATTAGCATGGTGTTTGATGATCCTTATCAGGTCAGTTAAAGAATTAATTAATAAAGGTTTTATTCTGTTTTCCTAACAGGTGACGTCGGTGAGCCAGGTGATAAGGGACCCACTGGCAAAGCCATTGATGGGCCCCCTGGAGACCAAGGATACCAAGGTCTGTGGCATTTATGTAGCTTGCTTGAATTAAATTAAATATGCTAAAGTGTTTGTTTCTATCATCACTGACAATATTTCCTCTTCAGGTCTTCCAGGAGTAGCTGGTACCGTCAAAGACGGTCGCGATGGGTCTCCGGGAGATCCAGGCGAGCCTGGAGAGTCAGGCAGGGTAGGCAGGACTGGGCACCAGGGTCCTCCTGGGATCTGTGACACATCAGCCTGCCAGGGAGCCTCGCATGTTGGGAAATCCTCCAACCCCAAAAATCTTTAAAACGACTTTCTGCATCCTGACTGCTCCAGTCCACGGAGGGAGGGGTGATGCGTGAGGAGGGGAGGAAGGAAAAGAACGGTCACAAGATGGGAAGAGTAACATCAGTGGGTGTGATACTTTGAAAGGCATGGAGGAACTTCTCAGGAGTGACGTGAACACCAAAGCATCCGAGAGACAAGAACACACACAGGTATTAAATCACAGAGAGGAAGACACGAGAACATCTGCAGTGACGAGCTCCTTTTGTATAAAAACTTTGTTCATGTTTCTGTGCCCCGCTCCATCACTGTGGCAGACGATCCTCTAAAAGCTGAGACTGTCTCTGATGCTTTAATCATGGTTGGCTGTTTCAAATCACAGCTGTTACCTCAGCATACAAGCTTACCGTGTCAAATATGGAAACAGCTGCTGGAGGCAGAAAGCCTCAGTCCAGGGGCTGAGGATGTGCTGTAAAAAATAAAAATAAAAACAAATACCCAGGTGCCCAGAAAACGTGTAGATTAATGCTAAACTCTAATCTTTAGTATGTTTTTTAAATGACTTGTAAAGTTGACTTAAAGCAGAGAAACAAACACTTGTGGGTGCAAACATCTGACAACATATCAAAGTTTTGGTGCTTTTTCTCATTTTATTTTATTTTTTCTCCCAAATTTGCAATGACCACATCCACTATGTACTACAGGTGCTGTAACTATTAAATATCCATCACTTTAAATACTATTTATTACTTGTGGGTGACTGTTGTATGTACAGTAAAATGCTACAGCGACATGTTGTAAGAGAGACAAAATAAAGCCACTTTTCAGTAAAACATCACTCTTTACTACATGTAAAACGAATCCTGCTCATCAGAACAGAAATATAGTTTAAACACTATCAAATGTATAAATACAGGATGGTCGTCCTTGTAGGAACACAATAAAAAACCAATCAGAAAACAGACAATAAATTCACATTCTGAAACATTTGTCAATCCCAGAGGGAAATTAGGGTAACATTAACATGCAGGAGGTGCAACAAAACGATTCAAAGACTATTATGACACCTAGGGGACGTAACGTGCAACTGCAACTGTAAAGTGCCATGTTTACTCATTAAAATGTAGCCTTAAGAGATTTAAATTAATGTAAAATGTAACAGTTGTTGCTGATTTGTTAGACTGAACAGAAGAAATCACTGTTCAGGAACATTCGCCTTCTCCTCCGGCTCTGGGAACAACGGGGCACCCCAAGATGAGTTGGACTTGAACTCTTCTCCCTTCTGAATGATGAACTTCATGAAATCCTGCAAAAGATGGATTGTTTATGACAGATTCTAGTGTTTCAGACCAGCTCTGCATCACCCCAGCAGGGTGCTGTAAATTCCATATTAAAGGGAAGAAAAGTGTCCAGTTTTATCAAGTGAGAGGATGCTTTACTCACTCCTGGTCCTGCAGAGTCGGTACCCAGCACGTTTGAGTTTCAACTTTGCTTCAACACACCTGATTTCAGTCAGCAGGTCATTAACAGGAAATCCTGCTGGATACCGGCTTTCCAGGACCAGGAGTGAGTACCGCTGCTTCAAAGGCTCACCGCGTTGAAGGCGTCTCCGTGGATGGTTTTGATGTATGTCAGGAAGGACACGGTCCACAGCAGGGTGCTGACTTTGTCTGTATATGAGTCACAGAATGGCACCATCTTGTTCAGCTCGTCACAGCACAGGCGGATCTTCTTCCTGTGCAACATAATGCAGATTTAAGCTAATTCAGCCCTTGCTTCTTCTGACCCTAACAGGTCACGACTTGTGCCTCAAAATAAAACTGCTTAGTTCAAATATAAACTGAAGGTGAGCACTCGCTTGTTTTGAATGTTTAAACAGCAGAAAAATAAAAAGTCTCTATGGAGAGGTGCTAATTAGTATTAATTAAACAGAAATGTTTACGGACGAGTGTATTTGTGTGGATTTAGGATGAGGCTGAACAATGAGGTGTAGCTCAGGCTACTGAGTGTGTGTCTGAAGGAGGGATCCAAGTCCTCCGGTGGGAGAAAAACAGGCGGGGAGACCGAACCCTAATTTTAAATAGATCCCCGAATACATGTAGAATTTTTAAATATAGTGATGAAAATAATGTTTGATCAAGATTTCAGTGCAGTGGTCTGACTTTGGCAATGATAACAGAGCTTTGAATTATTTTTAACAATCTTCTGATAAAAACGTGTTTTGCACGCGGTCTCTTGCAGCTTTATTCAAATTTTGCCGGGCCAGGCCATGGGAGGATGCACTTCCTGTTTTGTTCTAGTATTTTTTGGTGTACTTACAGCCAAGTTGGACCATAACACTGCTGAAGATGCCGGAAAGGTGACAGAAATGGCTCACCTGCGCTCCCGCTCATTGCTGTTGTGTCTGTCCCTGCGCTGACTGACTGTCATCCCAGGTTTTCCTCTTTTCTCGTCCCCTTTCTGTGACTTCCTCTCCATGTCAGGGGCAGCTTTAGCTTTCGTCTTGGGCTGAGAGATGAGGCTGCAAAGATTTATGTAGTGGGCCGCCAGGTTCTCTATGGAAAACACAAGAAGTTTGAGCTAAACTCAGACACTGTAATGGGCAGATTTAGCTTTTCACTTCTTACTTTTAGGATTCACCAACTCATGTTCTCTTGAGTTGCTCCTGTCAGCAAAGACGGTCTTTGTAACCAGGCTCTCGGGGTGAAAACTATTTGAAACACTCTCAGGGAAGATGAATTCTAGATCTAAGAAGGGTTCAACTGTATGGAACACAAGCTGTAATAGGAACAGCAAATATTGATTAGACCTATAATTCCACCTGAAATTGAACCTTGTAAAACAAACGCTGATGGATCTTTTTTCAAGTATTTTGTAACACATGTTGGTTATTGGGTCAAAAATTCCCACAACATATGAGGTAGGAACTTTTAAATCGCTTTGGCTTGCCTGATTCAGTCTACTGTACCTTCTGACTGTGTGCGACGGCTTCTTGAGCTTCTGCGGACTCTTGAAATACGGTCACATGGCTGAAACGCAACAAAGAGTTTTCCTCCAATTATATTAAAACCAATTACTGCATCATAGCTACATATTACTAAAACGTACTTTCTCAGATCAGAGTGAACATCTTGTTGTCTTGCAGTGTCAGCAGATACGGAGCTGAATCTTTTCTCCAAGCACACTCTAGCTTTTGGTTTGGATGAGTTCAACAAAAACCTCCTTCCTGTAGCGGATGGTGCAACTGGGCTTTCGTCTTCTTTGACCCTGGCCAGCACACAATCTGGAACTTCTCCATGCATTAACGGTGTCTTTTCGCCTTGCATCACCAGATTGTGGTCATTGCTTGAAGTTGACAAGTCAAGAACTTGAAAAAGTAAATTGGTAGAAACGCCGGTGGTGTCATTGTCCATCATCGTAGTTAAGGGAGGTTGGGTATCTGGCCCATCTTGAGGACCCATCTGTGACTCCATTTGTCCTTGGGAAAAAATTTGCATAAGGTGTACATTTTCATCATTGAGCATCTCCATTAGACCAAGCTCGGAGTCCAGCGTCTGTCCCTGATCCTGGCATGAAGCTCTGCTCAAAACCAAGTTGGAGGTAGTGTTTTCCTTGGGTGGAGGTGAAGGGTGGGTATTTTTAAAAGCTGATGACGGAAATGACATCTTTCAGTCTAAAAACTAGAGCACAATAAAGAAAACCATTATTAAAGTTAAACTTCAACTAACACTTCAGCTGGGCTTAAATATTTCACCAGAATGGCTTTAATTTTTAAATTGGGATATTAGAGACATTTTAAAACAAAATGTGAGAAATTCTTTTCAAGTACATGATTTTCTTGGTTTCATTATTAAAAATTCTAATTTCCCTCTAGGATTAATAAAGTATTATTGAATTGAATTGAGAAACGGGTACCGTTTTGTTCTAAAAATAGAAGTTTAGCTAAACCAATAATTTTATATTTCAATTTAAAATGTGTGTTTTCACACAAAATAAACGACCGCGTTTTCTTTTGGGTTTGTTTTCCAACTCTGGATTCTGGTAAAATCAGTTTAGCATTCCAGGACCAATTAGCCACAAACTCTGGCTAAGCTAATGCTAGTTATATTAGCCTAGCTAAAGTCAAATGAAAGCATCACCAAAATACACGCGTTTAAATTATAAATCACTTAATTAAAAGATTTTATAAAATAGAAAAAGAAATAACGATCACAAGTACTGACGTTTAAAACATTTCCGTTCTGTCGGTTTCCAACTTACTTCAAAGAAATACGTCTTTATCTACCAAGAAGCAACTGGTTTACCAACACGGATTGTACTGTGCAGTCTTGGCTCTAGAGGGCGCTGATGTTTCCCAACACCTGGTCCCTATTGCAGAAAACTAGCTAGCGTGCTAGATTTTCTCACACACGCACACGCACACACACACACACACACACACACACACACACACACACACACACACACACACACACACACACACACACACACACACACACACACACACACTCAATTTATTAGTATTAATATAGAGCTGACTCAGTTCATATTGCACAGAGCTCTACAGGACAGGGGGCAGGGTTAGCCAAAAATAAGATGCATTGCCTACATTATGTCAATGTGCATAAGACAATCACGTTTATGGATTTCTAAAAAATCATACATAATTCCTGAAATAGGAAATATCCTAACAGCAGCTTTAAATGGGTTAGGATTCCGGAAATTGGTGGATAAATTTCTCTCATGAGAGTCTCGACCCCTCTCTCCATAGCAGCTTCAAACCCATCTCTAAACTTCCGTTCATCTCCAAGATCTTGGAAAAGGTTGTGGCTAAACAACTCAGAGCTGCTCTTGATGAACATAACATCTATGATAGCTTAGTCAGGTTTTCGTAGAGCTCATTCTACTGAAACAGCTCTTCTTAGGGTCTCTAATGACCTTCTGACTCACAGTGATGCAGGGGACTGTTCTGTTCTGGTCCTGCTGGACCTGACTGCAGCCTTTGACACTGTTGACCATCACCTGCTACTGGAGAGGCTGAGAGACTGGGTAGGCCTATCAGGATCTGCTCTGGAGTGGTTCTACTCTTATCTTTCTGAGCGCTCCTTTTCTGTGGCCGTCTCCAAGTTTAGGTCCTCCACCACCTCCATTACCCATGGTGTCCCACAAGGTTCTGTGCTGGGGCCTCTACTCTTCCTCCTCTATCTGCTTCCTCTTCAGCACATCCTGAGCTCCTTCAAAGGAATTTCCTACCGTCTTTATGCAGATGACATCCAACTGTACATCTCCTTTAAGCCCCATGAGATGTCTAAGCTGCAGCTGTTACACACCTGCTTAGACTCTATCAAAACCTGGATGGCTGGGAGCTTTCTTCAGCTGAATGAAGATAAGACTGAGATCCTCATCTGTGCCCCAGACAAGCTGGTTCCCAAAGTCAGAGACTCTCTTGGTCAGCTTGCTTCCCACACCAAATCCTCTGTCAGGAATCTTGGCGTGACCTTTGACCCAGCTCTCACCCTGGATTCTCATGTCAGTTCTCTTGTTCGCTCTTCCTTCTTCCATCTCAGGAACATTGCTAAGCTGAGTCCCATTCTGTCCCTCTCTGAACTTGAGACAGTTCTCCACACCTTCATCTCCTCACGCTTAGACTACTGTAACTCTCTTTTCACGTGTCTGAGCAGAACCTCCCTGAACCGTCTACAGGTGGTTCAGAATGCCTGTGCTCGGCTTCTGACCAAGTCCTCCAAACACACCCACATCACCCCGCTTCTCCTCCAGCTTCACTGGCTGCCAGTCAACTTCAGGGTTCATTCAAGATCCTGGTTCTGGTCTATAGGGCCTTACATGGACAAGCACCATCTTACATTGGTGATCTTCTTAGTCCCTACACCCCCAGCAGGTCCCTGATGTCCAGTGATCAAAGCCTACTGGTTGTGCAGCGCACCAGGCTAAAGGTCAAAGGTGACAGATATTTTGCTGCTGTGGCCCCCAGACTCTGGAACTCTCTCCCCCTGAGCCTGAGATCAGTGGACTCAGTGGTCTCCTTTAAAAAGCAGCTGAAGACTCACTTGTTCAAGGTGGCTTTTGTATGACCTTCTTCACCTCTCTCTCTTTATTCTGCTCTCCCCACCTATTCCACCTTCCTCAGGATCCACTGATTTCCCTCTTTCCTATTCTCTCTTTTTCTTAACATTTTTTAATCACAATTGTCTATTTTTGCTCATTTTAAATATATTTTTAAACATTTTCTAAATGCTTTTTTTACATTTTTTGTTTTTGTGAAGCGCCTCGTGATTTTTATCTTGAGAGGCACTATAGAAATGATATTTTCTTCTTTCTTCTTCATTGTGGTTGAAAATCTATAAAAAATATTGAAATGTGACTTCTGTGATATGTTATAAAGAACTTTTGCATTAACCTCTAAGATTTTTCATGCCTTGATTTGTTTTATGTTACCATTTAATAACTTATGGAGAGAGACTAGAAAACGAGGCTGAGGATGTTCTTTTTGGGTAAACGGGACACTGACCTATGGAACACAGTGACCGCCTTAATCTAGGGTGTGAATGACTGTGACTCTAGAAGGCACTATATCAAATACAGGCTATTTAATGATTCCTTGACCTTTCATTATATATGTCTGTGCTTCCAGGTGTCTGGCATCTCCTCTCTATCCTTACTGGCTCCGCCCCCTATAGCAATCACAATTAATCAATCCCATTTTTACACAGACTGAGACAGGACACCAACTTAAATAGCCCTACAAGTTGAGGTAACTGATAGCAGAAACAGTTTCATATTTTATATATTTGTCTTAATTGTAATTAATTACAATTTACAGACTCTTTGTTTTAATTTACATACAAATTTAAACAATTTAATGACTTCTCTCAGCTCCCCCTAGTGGCCCAATAATGGAACAACAGAATCCAAAGTGCTGCATTTAAAATGGACAAGACCAAAATGTTGGAGAAGCATAACAAAAGTCTGCTGAAGCATTCTAAAAACATCCCCGACAATGAAATTTGGAGTTAGAGCAAAAACAATAGAGGGACAGAAATGTTTAAAAAATATAAATCTAGAAAAAGATGGATCCGTCCTCCTACCAACCCCAAATAACCTACAGGGAATGTGTTTTTGTTTTATAAAACACGAAGGAGTATTTTACTATTTGAAAAACAGCTAAGTCAGGTAGCACTATAAAAAAATGGCAACAAGCAATAAAGCTTTTATTTTCTATTTTCATGACAAACAAAATTCCACAAAAAGTGGGGAAAAAAAGAATTTTCCAAAACCTTGGTAGCAAAAGGTTTAGCAGTGAAGATGAAGAGAGAACAAAACATGAAGCTAAGCACAAAAAAATGTTTATGTGAAGTAATAAGGCTTCTTAACGTTTACTCCATATTCAGAGAGGGCGAGAGTCAGGTCCTCCATGGTCAGGGTGTACTTCTTTTCCTGTAAATGACAGAAAACCACACATCCATGAAAACACAATGGTTACATTCATGTAAAACAGCTAACCACTTTTTATGTCACGATACTGAGTGGACACATCAGGTTTAAAGGGGAGGATGAAGTTAAACACTCACCTTCGTCTTGCTTTTGGAGCTCCCTGAGGCTGTTCCCTTCATTTTGCAGTACTGCAGCGCATCGTTGGCTATGTCTGAGATAAACTTCTGAGAAGCGAGGGAAATCAGACGAATTCTGAAGAGGTGAAGAAAAAAAACATATCAGCAAACTCCCTGTTCTCACCTGGAATGATGTGCAAGACTGGGCTCTGCTCAGTGAACAGCAACAATTGGTGCTTGTGTTGTGTCTATCTTGAGGTAAAATGGTTTGATTTCCAGTTAACTGAGACACAAAAGCTACTTACATCCTAGGATCCGAAGCCTCAAAGCCTGCCTTGTTGAGGTAGTAACCTGTAACTGCGTCAGGAATCTGTGGGGGAGAGGGAGGGAATAGGAAAATTGCTGCATGTGAAAAATGGCATGCACTGTTGAAGCACCTTTCTGGATCAGAGGACTCCAACGTGCTTTGCACTATAGTGGACCATTCACACACTCACACACAGATGGTGGTGACAACGTAGCCACAGCTGCCCTGAGGCACACTAACAGAGGTGAGGATGCAGTACAGAGGCCCCACTGGCCCCTCCAACCACCACCAGCAGCAGACATGGAAGGTGAAATGTCTTGCCCAAGGACGCAACGACAGAATGCCCTGTATAGGTACATTTACTTTTCATACTGATCTTTCCATCAGGATGCACCCTTCAATGTAAAGCAGGGTAACTAACTCTGGACTCTGACTAAATAACACTTTTTATTGCTTCAGATGCCTAAATTTTGAGCAATCAGAACACTTTAAAGCAAAACACCACTGCAGATTCAGGTTTTAGGATAAACTGTCTCCATCCCAGAGTTTACCCTGGTGTGAGCTGATTAGCTTACTGTGGGAGTGTAATCTTCCAGCTGCATGAGGAAATCCGCCAGAGGTGTGGTAGATATGGTGGGCTTTAAGTCTCCATTAGGAACTCCACTAGGAAGGTAAACACCATTGGACACTGATGCGTCCCCCATTGCTGTCACCGCAGCAGCCGAGGCTCCAGCTGTGAATCCATTTATTCAGGTTTAAATATCAGATTTCTAATGACGAATACACAAGGTCATAATTAGTATAACTCTCCAATCTCGTTAAAATGGTTTGAAACAGAAATTCTACATTTCAAGAAAATGTAAATTACAAATATTAGCCACTCTGTTTAGGAATTACCTAGAAACTCTCAGCTCAGGACAATATAGAACAGACACGGTATCAGCTAGTTTATGAGTACCACTTTTACCAGGGGAGGTCTGGTACAGGTTGAACAAAATCCCAGATGCTTTGTGAAGGGTAAATTATTTATAGTTTTGTCCTAAAAGACAGCAAATCTGAAGCAGAACAACGCACTGCATTATCGAATTGTTCGTAAATGATTTCGTGTAAGTCTTGGAATAGTTATTTGATCAAGAATAAACAAGATCCTGAGCAAATTCATCCAGGAATTTCCACACTAGGCATGATGTGATGAAAGATGCAGATATTAGCCAGAGCAGCAATTTGTTACCATTACTTGTAGCCGAATGGATGCTTCTCACGTTGGTTAATGTATTCTCGTTCGCAATGCAATTACTTGAAGAAGAAGACGCAGAAGGACCTGCTGTTGTAACAGACGGGTTTATGTTGTCTAAATTCATGTTGGTGTTAGCTAAGACTAAACTAGGCAGGCTAACTCAAAATATGCAAACAGACAAACGTCTGCTTAATGCTAAAACATTAAAACAGATTATTACTAATATGCGTGTGTGACTAAATAAGCAAACAATTTCATAACAGACTAAATTAAAATTAAATTATCTAGCTATTGTAGAGTAATATGAAATTGTCGAACAGAGCAATGAGCTCGTAATAGGTCACGTGAGCGTCAACAAGCCCTCTGATCTATGGCGGTTGGCAAATAACATTAAGTACATCACTGCCCCCTACCGATGTGGAGTGCGCAGCAAGAGCAACTTTATTCAGACAGAAGCAAATCGTTTCTGATTGTGCTGTTGTGTATTCTTATCTTCTGAACACTGTTTTATCACTTTGGCCCCTTTGTTTGTTTGTTGTGCTTTACTTCGATGCTATGTGAGATACCCAATTTCACTAATAAAGTTTGTTTTAAAAAATCATTTCTTCTTCTCCTTCTCCTTCTTCTTCTTCTTCTTCTTCTTCTATTCTGGTTGATACTGGTTAGATTCATGACATGTGGTTAATAATAGTTAATAATAATTATTAATAATTAAAATGTTTTTGTTTATATATATATATATATATATATATATATATATATATATATATATATATATATATATATATATATATATATATATATATATATAATGTGGTGTCCTCTTGTGGTCTTCCTGTTGTAAAGTGATTAAATTCAACAAGCCAAACTCTCTGTTCACATTTGGTTAGTTTACACTTTTTTATTTTTTTATTTTTTTTACTATTGTTTACTTATTAAAGAGGTCAGACATTCTGGTATCTCAATGTGAAAATCACAGAAGGTAAACAAACGCTGAACGCACAAAGGTGTTTGTTTGCATGCAGTACCACGTCTCACCTGCTGTGGCGCTGCAGCAACTACTCTCTGGTTTGGAACTTGCTGCTGATAATCACCGGAAGTTCTGCTGATCATGATGGAGACCGTTTTCTCAAGGTTTGATTCTTATAATTTTGAGACCGATCAACGATTTGTTGATGGTCTGAAAACTTTAAACATGTCTGACAGAAGCGGAGAGAGGACCGAGCTGCTGGACCTCAAACTGTTCTTTTATAACAGGTAAAACCAACGTATTCATTGGAAATGTGTGTATCTTCAATGACAAAAACACTAAAACATAAGTTGTTTACTCCAGTTCCTGTTTATTTCGTATAGTTATTTAATACGTTAATGCATTTGTAAACACAATAGTAAAAGAAAAGCTTTTTGAATCAGTAAAACTTATGAAGACTTACCCTAACTCACTAAATCAAATGACCTTTTTATGCGGGATTTTTACGGCAAAGTGCTTCCCCCCAGCCCCACCCCCCAAAGCAACTAATTTTTAGTATTGAACTGTAAACAAATACTCATTTCTATTATATAGCGCCAAATCACGACAAGAGTCGTCTCAAGACACTCCGCAAAGTAAACATTCCAATACAGTTCAGTTTATTAAGTCAATCAGTAAAAAGTTTCCTATAATTGAAAAAGGCATCAGTGTCTTTATAGCAATCCTCACAATAAGCAAGCATGTAGCGACTGTGGAGGAAAACTCCCTTTTAACATGAAGAAACCTCCAGTGGATCCGCCGACATACATACCAAGTAGTGTTTCTATGCTACATTATGCTATCTTGATAAATACTCTATTTAGTAAAAGATAAACTTTATTATCTTTATCTTGTGATAATAGTAGTAGCACATTCCATGTCAAAGAGAGTAAAAGGTTATCAGGAGAGGGAAAATGTTATGTGTGCTAGCCGATGGCCGCCCCCTCCATGAGGCCACCACAGCTCAGCGGATCACCTTTCCAGCTTCTGGGGAGAAAAACACTTCAAATAAAACTAAAGTTAACAGGAAATAATGCAATTAGAGAGTAGTGGTAGAAGAAAGTAGTAGAGTGTGGAAAGTGGTCAGTATGTCCTCCAGCAGACTAAGCCTATAGCAGCATAACTACAGACAGGGTAGCCGCGGGTCCTTAAAAAGTCTTAAATTTGCTTTTCCAAATTTAAGGCCTTAAAATGACAAATAATCCTTAAATACAGTTTCCAAAGGTCTTAAATTGCCAAAGACCCAATAAACAAGATTATTTTATTTCTATAAAATTTTCGTGAATTTCTAGTCAGTGTTCAGCATTTTTTGTGTACGATGTTGGCGTAAGTGGAACTGTACACATTCAGTTGGTTGTGAAAGGGGGGTATTTTAAGATGAGCACATTAGCTGATTAAGCTAGTGGGAGCTTGCACCATGGGGAAGTGCAAGTTTAGTGGTAACTGGATGGTTAATCCCAAGTTCGCGACGTGGTTAGCACCGGTTCCAGGCAATAGCTGGAAATTATAGCTTAAATTTAATTTTAAAAATAGCTTAAATTTGGTCAAAGTGGCCTTAAAAAAGGTCTTAAAAAGTCTTAAATTTGGCTCCCTTAAACCTGCAGATACCCTGTACAGAGATAAGTCTGTATAGATGGAGGCATGTTGGAGGCAGGGCAAGGGAGAGCCATCTTTACCGACTATTCTCCACTTTATGTATCAGATTCTATAGTAAAACATGCATCACATGTTGGGAAGCAAAAAGCAAAAACTATAACAAAACAACAGCTTAAACTTTGTGTTTAATGACATTCTTCTACCATACCAATCTATTCTCTTGACCTATTTGTTTGTTTGCATAACTGGCTTCTTTTTTTGACCCTTTTCTTGTCTCCAGATTTGTGGAGCCCATAGAACAGCACAGCTACAAAACCTGGAGCTCTTCTCATGGGACAGCTTCAAAATTTGCTGCTGAGCATCAGGATCAGAGGGCCCAGTCACATACAGATTCTAACGTCTGTGAAAACCGAAGGACAGAGACGTCTGCAAACACACAGACAACACATCTTTCCTTTGCAGAGGTGATGCAGCTGGTTCAGGACGGGAAGGAAGTGCCAGGAGTCTCCAAACTGGACATACAACCGTGCAACCAGAGTCCCACACCTTCTCAGATGCAGCGAGCACTAAAACCCTGGGAAACTGCCTGAACTGTAGCTGATTATTAATCTTATAATTTATAGCATTAACTGAGAGGATTTGAAAATTGAGAAAATAATTGCCTACTTTTTTAAACAAATTAAAAGTAATTTGTTGTTTTCTTGCCCTACGATCAGTTTGGGCTTCCTCCTAAAACTACAACACAACTAACCCAGCCCATGACAGCTCAGACCTGTTTGTGCTGGGAACGCAAAGTTTTGCTCGGCTTCTTTGATCTGATTTACTAATAACAAAAATATGTAAATAAGAGCGACACCATGTGTTGTAAACAAGTTTGTGTTCAAGAATCTTGTGATCCTTTTGGATTTAATCAGAAACACATATTTGAACTTTTACAGCTTGGGGTCTTTCTGAACTGGTGTGATCAGGTTGGTATCTCGGGACTCTGGAAACGATGTAAATGCTTCAGAATCTTTAACGTGTTTGTATAATCACTATTAAAGTGAGTTGAGTTAAATGACGGAAATCCTTTTTGGAAATGGAACAATGGTGAACGTTTGATCACCTGGAGATAACTTATCCCCATTTCCTTAAACTAAGGTTGTTCAGAGCCCTGGCTACCACAACCAATTGTTTGATAATGTTGACAGTAATGTTAGATGTATGGGATGATTAGATGTGCACAACTATACAACTAATGATAGTGAGCAGAGGCTCAACTCACGACTCAAAGGATTTCATTAAGATCTATCACGACAGAATTGGATGTAATAAACTTTTGATAAAACAATGGTAAGTAAATATGGTAAATATAAAATGTTTTATTCATTTTTATTTATTTTCTTCGTTATAAAGTCTAAAAAAAAGCTGAGTAAAGGCTTTAAACCGCATATTTATTCATTTGTTTCACCATTACAATGGACTATCACAGCTCTTCTACATCCAATAAAAACAGTCAGCTCACTGCAAAGCGAAAACCTAGGAACTGAGTGTTGGTAAAAACTTAAAAATGTTTTAAAAAAGACAAAACTAAAACATGCAAAGTTAGCACCAACAGTGTAGCACCATCACATGCTGAGGTAAATGTCAGAAACATCTTGTCTCCTTTGATGGCAGCACCACAATTATTCAACCGAGCAGTTAAAGCACAACTGCATAAAAACTCCATCTGTGTTGGGAAAGAATAGTTATAGTTAACAAGATAAAATCCCATCAGACATTTAGTAGAAATGTTTTGTGATTTTGTCAGGTTCTGCTTTTCAGATGTCAGCTTGACCCGTTTCCCACCTCAGGTCAGCCACGCCCATCGGTGATGAAGACGAGTAACGCCAGCAGCGGTTAGTCGAAACAAGTCAAGCCAACGTCATAAAAGCTGCCTTTTTTTTACATGGTTACAAAAGTTTTGAGACACTAAACAGTGAAAAGTCTCAGAGTTTAAAAAGGAAACAAATCCTGGAGTCACTGAATCTGCTCGCTGTTTCTTTAGAAAACAACCAAAGGTGAAAATAACCTTCCTGTAACACGAAGCATCTGCTTTTGTTCCTTGTAACATTCAAAAATATCTTTTTCCTGTAAATTAATTTTAGTAGTGACTGACCAATCAACAAAATAATCAACTAAAATCACACAAAATAAAAAATGTGCTCATTTCTGTTTGACTAAATTCTAGTTTTTTTAATTTTTTATATTGATTTGTGTAAAAAAATCTCCCAGCAGCAGAGCTCACATCTCAATTGTTTTAACCTAAAAAAAAAAAAAAAAAAAAGGAAAATGTAATAAAAAAAAGGGTCCTTTTTGGCATTTTGGCCCCAAGACAGAAATGAACTGGGATGCTAATTTTTCAAACACTCAAAACTACAATAATAAAACAAAACTACATTATTCGGAGGCAAACTGCTACGTTCCATGATTACTGTAGATCCGTTTTACCTCCTATCAACTAAAATGAACTATTTGTTTTCCCGGTAACACCTTTTGTTTTATCGCTCTTTACCTTCACATGTTGCTCCTTTGACCACACAAACACCTGAAGTTAATTAGGCCAATCACAGAGACAGTGATACAGACATCAAATAACTCCTATAACAATCGAATCAAGCAATGTTGTAATAAAAAACAAAGAATTTAAAAGTCAACAACTACTGTTGCAGAACAGCGACCAAACCCAGAAACAGGTTTTAGGTGCAGAAAGATTTAAAAAGTCTCGATAAGAAGATAAAAACAAATCCTGATGGATTACATCAGAGCTGAAGTCGACGGCAGCGTGACAGCACAAACACAAAGTACAGATGTTTTATGTTTATAAATAAGCTAATATTATCAAAGCGTAACTGCAGATTTAAACCAGAGTTGGTGTTGAGGTAGGGTACAGGCGCTGGAACACAAACACCCCTTTTCCAACTGCTTTACTCAGCGAGGCGAGGATGGGTTCGGTACTCCAAACCCCCCCCCCCCCCCCCCCCCCCCCCCCCCCCCCAGCTTTTCAGTGCCAACTGCGTTCTGGTTGCTAGTGTACAGAAATTCCAAAAACACAGCGTCTGACACAGTCGGCCACTGATCGGCTAGGGGGCGGAGCCACTGGTTGCTCCAGAGCGTCTGCCTGCTGCCCGAGCCGATTCACCCTGAAAATAATCCTTCAGCGGGCCGAACCCATTTGAGTCGCGCTGACTGGTGCTGCTGGAAAAGGGACAAAAGTGTTCCAGGGCTCTTTAAGTAGCTGACACCAAGCTCACTGGTGGAACTGACTCATTAAAAACGTTTCTGCTATGAGATGACCAAACATAATAAATACACTTAAAACTTCAATAAGACACATTGTTAAATGCAACCTGCTTACAGGGTTACAGGCCACTTGGACCGAGAAAAGAGCTGCATGTTCAGTTTGGTTGTGACCACCTGGGTAACCTAAGCTCAGTGCTGGTCTCTCAGTGTGATGCTGGGGCTAGAAAGAGCTTAAAACAGCCAGCATGCTCCCATCAGGAACCGAAACGTTATTGTTTGTTGCCATATGATGAGTTCATATTTTAGTAAACCTTTAACCCTCCCACTGTCCTAATGGGTGTGACCCCGCGAGAAAAGTTGACCATTGAGCAGGATTGATGGTATATCCCTTGGGTCCACGTGGCAGGGGTGAGGAGTGAGCACCATCTCACCCCTGCCACGTGGATCTCAAGGGATAAACCATCAATCCTGCTCAATGGTCAACTTTCCTGGCGGGTCACCCATGAAGACAGTGGGAGGATTAAAAAGTGATATGTAATCTAAAACTGCAATTTATCAAACTTTTTGTCTAACTTTTGTCCTCTGAATTTAGCTTTCTCCATTACCATGGTGATCCCACAATGTGAACATGAACCGGTGTTAGGGTCACCGAAAACCCGAGTAAAGCCCAAAGAGAGCGGGCTGGCCGCCTCCTCTCACTCGGCGACGCAGGCCAGTGCTCTGACATCACAGCATGATTTCACAAACAAACACAAAAACAGGAAGAACACAAACGACACGATTCAAGAGCTGACGATACTAACTGAGGTCTTTTGATGACAAGAGCGGTGAATCTGCACATTGGAGGTATAAGGCATTTGGGTTAGCACTACTCTGAGTCACCTCACTGCCCTGATTCACATTCAAAATAATCCTTCAGCGGAGCGAACAGGTGACGGATGACCGGGACGCTCCAGGAGCGACCCAGTACTCTCTGCCTCTGCCCCCGGCCCATGTTGTTCACATCCGTGTAGTGTTTGGGAAAGCCAAAGATCCTGGAAGAACAGAACACACCAGACACTAATTATTCCACAACCGAACATCTAATCAGATCAAAGGGCTCTTAATCTTCATATTCAGTGATCCAAATCTGATTTATTGACATATTTTAAAACCGATCCCTCACGGTTTCAGATTAAAGGCCAAGTGGTCTAGGACAGGGCTAAGATCAGGAGTTGGATTCAGCCTTACTGTTCCATTTCGGTGCACCACAGGTAGTCCTCTTTGCCGTTCATGGTGACGGGGAGCGAGCCTACCTTCCCTTGCCTTATGGAGTTGGACTTTGTTGTGATTGTGCGAACTTTCTCAAACTGCAGGAAGAGGTGAAATTTAGCGCCACAGAGATGAAAGATTAGCTCAACATAAACAGCTCTGACACTTTATTATTGTTGAAACTCAAGAATGTGTCTACCATTGCCTTGCGCCCAACTTCCAAACAATCCTGAAGGTTGACTTTGTCATCAATGAACGAGGAAAGAGGTCTAAAAGAGAAGATAGAAGAAGGTGTTCCATTTTAGAGTGAAACTGTTTACATTAAGCAGAGAATCTGATTGGGTTGGTGCAAACCTGTTCATGCCAGGTAGGTTTCCCCAAAAGTAGCGAGCTCTATGAGCCGGACTGACTTTCACTGCATCAATAAGAATTGGATTACACTGAAAAAAGAAAAGCAATAAAGTACGATTAATCAGAGCCTACGGAGGTCTTCTCGTCTCCCGTTGTTCTGACAAGATACTTAAAGACAATCACCTCCAGGAACCGGCAGATGTCTGATTTGTCATGGGCACTCATGAAAACCACGTTCTCGAATAACCAGAAGAAAGGACGGTCGTCTCCCTCCTTTGGCTTCAAAAAGTTCAGAATACGATAAAACTCAAAAAAGAGTCTTCCGGTGCCCTCTGCAGGAGGAAATGGCACAGTCAGTGGCTGCTTGCTGTTCTGCCGGCGAAGCAGGCGAAGCATGAGGAATTTGCTAAAGAGGAATAAAACAGCTGCATACCAAACAGTCCTTTTCGTAGAGGGTTGACCATGGACAGGTCGTTGCACGGGCTGCCACCAATCAGCAGATCAAACGGACCCCACTCAGCCAGCTTAAACACACAACGAAAGACCGTATTCCTAAATTACTTGGGCCCTACTTGTAATAAATGAGAGTGATGCTCCTGCAGCCGGGTCTCACATGTTTCCTGGTAATGTTGCGAACATCGTTAACATATTCAATCTTCCCTTCGTGTTTGATCATTCCCACGGCGATCGAGTCATCGCAGATCTCTGAAGCGATGTATCGCTCCACCTTAAAGCCGAGGTCTCGCAGCACCAAATATCCTGTCATGATGACAAGTTTTGGGAAATTCAATAAAAAAAAGAATATTTTCTGCGATGCAAATTACATCATTTTCCAAATGCTTGCAAAGGTCTTTGTCAGTAGTTAGAGACAGTAACGTGCAAACGAGCTTCTGTTATATCCATGATCAGAACAGCTGCATGATGTTTTAGAGTCGACATCACATCTATGAGCGCACAACACTCACGTCACAGGTTCTGCCGGGATATCAGCGCAAATGAGCTCAAGTTCCCATCTAATGTTATGAGCACCTGACACTCAACAACCACTAATCACAATCGTTCTTATTCAGTTTGCACAGCAGAACGATAAAACCTAACCCCTCAAGTGAGATATCGTTGCTTTCTGAACTTTGTCGACTATTTGATGCACCGCACTTGGTTCAAGATGCATGTGAGAGTCCGGGGACCGAACTATCAGCCCATAGATCCACGAGTACCCACATTCAGCTGATCAAAGGGACCGCACAGTCACAGGTAGTGCATGGCAAGGCCATTTTGGCATTTAACAAAGTTTTAAAATCTATTCTGTATCTGACCAGGAGCCGATGAAGTGCTGATAGGACCGGCGAAACATGGTCGTGCTTGCGAGTACCACTTAAAAGACGTGCCGCAGCATACAAGGTATTACAGTAGTCCCGTCTAGTCGTCACAAAGGCATGGATAAGTAATTCTAAATGATATCGCCATAAGGATGTTTTTATCTTCGTTAGCTGTCTTAGGTGAAGAAAGCTAGCACTCACCACTGTACTTTTGTGTTTATCAAAGCAGAAATGGTCCTAATCCAGTGATGTGGTCGGTACCACCTGGTGTCTAGGGCCAATTTGTAAAACTTCAGTTTTGGTTTCATCAGATAGTCGCAGACATCCATGACTTAACCACAGCTATACGATCCAGTAATTTAGATGAAGTATTTGGCCTCAGCAGAGGACGTGGTGACCTATTCGATCAGGTGAGATGTTGATCAGAAGCTTCCACATCAGGTTCAGTGCTGTTAAAGGTTTGAAGCTAATATGAGCATGCTAACAAACTTTATGATGAAAACTTTGTTAGACACATCAGAAAGAAAGTTCAGCCGTATATTCTGTTGGATCGTGGAAACAAGACTCAAAACGGACCAACTGATTTACTGGAGGACATTAATGTGACCTTATGGATGTGAAAATACAGCTTTTTCCACATTGTTCGGTTCTGCCAATGACACAAGGCTATACTGGTGACAAATCTGCATTTCCAAGGGGTTTGATAACAGTGTTTACTGTGTCTGGTGATGATTGGATCACGTTGACCTGGAATTATGTAATTTACCTCCCGTGGAACCAAACACACCAGCGGGTTCAATGTCAGCAGGAGTGCATACAAATGAGTTTATTTCTCAATATTTAAATAAACTCAGTGTCACAAAAAATCACAATGTGAATGTTTTCCAACATTGTGCAGCTCTAGTGATCAAAGTCGAGTAAAAGCATTTGACCTCCACAGATTTTCTCAGTTTCGACTTTTTTGTCCCACTTGAATAATTCAGATGAGAAAAATACAACCCGAATAAAAGTTTTCTAAAAAAGATCTAATTAACAAAACAATAATGTCCAAACCACCCTGGCCCTAAATGGAAACGTCCTTAACTCCTAAACATAACAACTGACTGTAATAACTGGTTACGACTCTCTCACACCATTGTGTGCGTGTGTGTGGTGGTGGTGGGGGGGGGGAGGGGGGGGCACTCTTTCTTTTGCTGAATTGTTTTACTTCAGCCACATTGGAGGGTTTTCCAGCATGAACAACCTGTTTAAGGTCAAAGGTCAAACATTCATCATTGGAAAATGGCATCTTGTATTTACTCTAATTACTTCTGAGACTGGGATTTGTTGTTTCGTGAAATTGTGTCAAAACCACAAAACAATTACCAACACCAAACAGGACAACCTACCCGTTGCAATACCATCAAAGAGTGACAGAACTCTGATTGGTCTGCGCTGATCAGCTGGGATCGAGGGGTAAACTCTGTGAGGCTCCTGTGATCACATAAGTAAATTTAGAACAGGTGTCTGGTATCGACAATTCAAACCAGACCTGTTAGCTACTTTGGATGCACTCACAAACTCCATGGCGCTGTTGTTGGCAAAGAAGTCTTGAACCTTGACACGCCAGTCTGATCTCAGCTTCAGGTTTCCTTCACACTGAGACGGGTTACACATGAAGCAGTTCCAGGGATCGATGTCTTTCAGCTTCTCAAAGGTTCCTTCAGCCACCAGGATTTCCAGACAATCCTTACAGAAGCATCTGGAAAAGGAGAAGAACAAACGCAAGTGAAAAAGGTATCAAACCAAAGAGAAGGCAGGCTGGTTTCTAACGAGGATGTGCTGGATCACAAATAGATTTATGTAGAGGAATAAAGTCTCAGATGAGCTTTAGTGTTTTCTAACTGAGTCTTCTGTTTAATATAGATTATTGTGTTAATCGTCATCATCGTCTTCCTCCGCTTATCCGGGTCCGGGTCGCAGGGGCAGCATCCCAACTAGGGAGCTCCAGACTGTCCTCTCCCCGGCCACCTCCACCAGCTCCTCCGGCAGGACCCTAAGGCGTTCCTGGACCAGATTGGAGATGTAACCTATCCAAACTTTCCTGGGTCGACCCGGGGGCCTCCTGCCGGCAGGACATGCCAGAAACACCTCCCCAGGGAGGCGTCCAGGAGGCATCCTGACCAGATGACCAAACCACCTCAACTGACTCCTTTCGATCCGGAGGAGCAGCGGTTCTACTCCAAGTCCCTCCCGAATGTCCGAGCTCCTCACCCTATCTCTAAGGCTGAGCCCGGCCACCCTACGGAGGAAACTCATTTCGGCCGCTTGTATCTGCAATCTTGTTCTTTCGGTCATTACCCAAAGCTCATGACCATAGGTGAGGACTGGGACGTAGATCGACCGGTAAATCGAGAGCCTGGCTCAGCTCCCTCTTCACCACGACGGATCGGCTCAGCGTCCACATCACTGCAGACGCTGAACCAATCCGCCTGTCGATCTCCCAATCCCTCCTACCCTCACTCGTGAACAAGACCCTGAGGTACTTAAACTCCTCCACTTGAGGTAGGACCTCTCTCCCGACCCGGAGTTGGCAAGCCACCCTTTTCCGGTCGAGAACCATGGTCTCAGACTTGGAGGTGCTGATCCTCATCCCAGCCGCTTCACACTTGGCTGTGAACCTACCCAGCAAGAGCTGAAGGTCAGAGCTGGATGAAGCTAGGAGGACCACATCATCCGCAAAAAGCAGAGACGAGATTCTCCTGCCACCAAACTCGACACACTCCACACCACGGCTGCGCCTAGAAATTCTGTCCATGAAGGTAATGAACAGAACCGGTGACAAAGGGCAGCCCTGGCGGAGTCCAACCCTCACCGGGAACAGGTCCGACTTACTACCGGCTATGCGGACCAAACTCACGCTCCTATGGTAAAGGGACTGAATGGCTCTTAACAGAAAGCCACCCACCCCATACTCCTGGAGCGTCCCCCACAAGTTGCCCCTGGGGACACAGTCACCAGCCTTCTCCAAATCCACAAAACACATGTGGATTGGTTGGGCAAACTCCCATGCCCCCTCCATCACCCTTGCAAGGGTATAGAGCCAGTCCACAGTTCCACGGCCAGGATGAAAACCACATTGCTCCTCCTCAATCTGAGATTCAACTATCGGACACTCCTCTCCAGTACCCTGGAGTAGACCTTTCCAGGGTGG